CCCCCATCCCCACCGCCTTTTACCTGCCCGGGAACGAGCTGCCGCCGCCGCCGCCGTGCGCCAACGCAGCCCGGGAGTGCCCGCCGGTAGTGCCCGCCGCAGCGCCGGGCTGCGGGGGGGGGGCACCGGCACCGGGGGGCACCGGCTCCGGGGGGGGCATCGGTGGCACCGGCGACAGCCCCCGCCTCTCCCGGGAATCTCCGCCCACCCCGGGGCCCCACGCACCCCCCGCTCCCCACCCGGGACACTGCCCCACGCAGCTCCCGGCCGGGGGGGTCGGGGTGCAGCCCCTGCTCTGAGACCCCCATCGCATTGGGAAGGGCTGCGCAGCTCTGGGAGCACTGGGAGGTCTTGGGGCACTGGGATAACTGGGAGTACTGAGATGTTTGGGGGCACTGGGAGCACGCTGGCATTGCTGTGTTGGCACATCAGAGCGGGGAGCGGGGGTCTCCAGCCACCTGCAGAACCAGGCAGACACCCCACATGGTGACATGTCCCTGATCAGGTCTTCAAGGTCTTCAAATGTCACTTGTCCCTTCTGTAGGGTGCCACCCTGCCCTGGGCTGCCGTGGGGATGAGGAAGCACAAGGGTGTGTAAACAGGCACACACACACACACACACACACGACCATGTGTATGCACCTATTTGAGGACCACTCTCTCCACCACATGTGGTGAGGCAGGGGTTGGTCTCGTCTCCCAAGTCACAGGAGATGGGACAAGGGGAAATGGCCTCAAGTTGCACCAGGGGAGGTTTAGATTGGATATTAGGAAACATTTCTTCACGGAAAGGGTTATCCAGCATTGGAACAGGCTGCCCAGGGAAGTGGTTGAGGCACCATCCCTGGAGGGGGTCAAAAGATGGGTTGACATGGTCCTCAGCAATATGGTTTAGTGATTTTTTTTTTTTTTTTTTTGTCATAGTTAGATTGATGGTTGGACTAGATGATCTTTAAGGTCCCTTCCAACCTAGACGATTCTATGTGCCACCTCTGCCATCACACTTGTGGTGTCCCCATCCTGTCCCCTCGGAAAGAGCCACTGCACCAGGACTCAGGCCAGGGTGGTCCCCACCAGGGACAGAGAGAGCCGGGGGCTGCAGGGATCCCCCACACCTGCCTCAGGCATCTCCAGCTCCTGGGCACAGGCTTAGACCTTTGTGTTGGCCCAAGAAGGTGCCAAGCCAGGTATTTTGGGGCTAGAAGGGGATATTTTGAGTTGCGTGCCATGGGCTGATGTGATGTGGCACCGCACCATCCTCAGCCCTTCCAGGGGCTGGAGCAAAGCAGCTTTCGGCAGCTGCTCCCAGCGCTGGGAAAAGGCCCCGGTGGAGACAGATGTGGCTGTAAGGAGGTGCCATTCCCGGCAGGTTTTCCTGCGTTCCTGCACCAGCTCCGTCCATTTGCAAAGCCCGGGATTGTTGAGCGACGCCGCAGGGAGCAGATGGCAGGGGCAGATGGGAGGAAGAGGCACTCTCCTCCCAATTACACAAATAAACATGCATAAAGTGATTAAACCCACAGCCCCAGCACCGCTCTGGGGGGAATGGGAAAGGGACTGGGGTGGCTGCTGTGGAATGGGGAGCTGGGGGGGAGAACAGCTCAAGAGACCCAGAAAGTGGCTAATTCACCCCACAAATCTGCTGGGCACTGAGATCACTGAGGCTGAGAGCCTGCAGGTACTTGTTGGGACCACAGGGACCTTGCTGGTGCCACAGGAATGAACAATTATGACTAATGAAGGCATTATTGGTCTCTCATTGTAGGTTTTCCCCCTTTTTAATAGCATCATGGTGGTACCATTGGCCCGTCTGTTGCTGGAGGACTCTGGAGGACCAGGGACCCTCACAGGCACCTTCCTGCCCTTCACCTGCACCTTCAGGTCCTGAGCATCCCACAGGGCGCTGCCGTCTCCCAGTCAATTCCCTCTCACCCTCCACATAGCAGCAGCCACAGGGATCGGGGCTGGAAATGGGACCCTGGTGTGAACAGAAAGGGGAGGAAAAGGCAGAGATTTGTGTCCTTGGGGCTGAAGCCATCCTGGGGGGCCGGAGCCAGGCATCCATGCTGAGGCTGGGGGAAGAGTTGGGCCCCCTCAAGGTGGGGGCTGCCATTTCCCCTCCGATAATCTTCATATCTATTTTAATCCCTCTCTGCATGAGTGGCAGAGGGCACAACTGACGCAGGCTGATTTGAAAGCATCCCATTTCCGACTCAAACGCGGCCCTAAACCCACCTAATCCCCCACGCTGGACGGGATTGCAGGAGGGAGAGAGAGGATAATGTGGGGCACGGGGGGCGCGGGCAGGGCCCTTCTCTGCCATCAAACACTCAGTGATTTACAGGGTCCCCAGGGACGGGGGCAAAAGACCCTCAGCCCATCCCCTCTGGCTCCTCATCCCCTCCACCCTACAGCCGTGTGGTTTTTCAGCACACAGAGGAGAGGAGCTGCTGCCAGGAGGATGCTGAAATGGCTGCGGGTGCCGCTGCGATTCCCTCCCCACCACTGATGGGGAGAGACGTGGGGTGTTGGCGATGCCCTGACTGGGAGATTCCCCCTCCTCTTCCTCCTCCTCCTTCTTCTTCTCCTCCTCCTCCTCCCAGGGATTTCTGCGGGAATTTCCTGCGTTGCCATAGCAGCCATGAAGCCCTGGAGGCTTCGCTGCAGCAGGGCTGGGTGGGATGGGGCTGCAGGGGAGACCCTGTGCCCTCCCCGGGGACACACACTTCCCATTGAGTGTGTCCCTGTGCCCCAGAACACACACACATGGGGCAGCCGTGTCCCTGGGGTGCACAGCTCCGCACACACGCGTGCACGTGGGCAGCATCTATTGGTGTCAGCTTTGGCGTGTGCCCAGCCGCTGTCCCCAAGCTGGTGGGGCTCAGTGGCACTGGGGGTGCCAGGGCTTGGCACACCATGGTGGGACATTCAAGTGCTTTGGTGATTTGGGCTCCAGCAATGGCCACCCTGGCCCCACATGCCCACGGGAGCATCCTCACATGCTTCTACGCATCCAGGGTGGCACAGGAGGAGCCCAGCCATGGCCAGGGTGGCTGTGGGTGCCCTGGGACCATGCCCTAAGTGGACAAGTGGGCACCATCCCCGCAGCCTGCTGGGGTACTGGGATGAGCTGAGAGGGGAGAGGGAGAAACAAGAAGGGCTCAGACCCTGGCTGTCCCAGGAAACCCAACCAGGGTCTCCCTGACACCCTGCAGACCCCTCTCCGTGGGCCCACCCTCACCCCAGAGCTTGTCCCCGACCCCACGCCGTGCACGGCCCCGTGGAGGACACGGTGAAGGTAAGTGGAGCCGTGGTGGGGGCCGCGGGGCAGGGGCTGCAGGAATAGCCGAGGATTAAAAGCAAATGCCCAGATAATGAGGATCTTTGGTAAAAAGCCCATTTGTATAATTTAAATCTCTAATAGGCTTCCTGGAATACAAAGCCCTTTGTGATGCCCGATCTCATCTGGATCAGGAGCCGATCGCTGGCTAAATCTTGACTTAGTGCCGCAGGGATGTGGGAACGTTTCATAACGGGGTGGCTCCATCCCACGTCCCCACGTCCCCGTGATGCCCACGCTGCTGCCCTGGAGCACGTACAGCTCACCTTGCCCAGGCGGCCAAGGTCGGGGCTCCTGGGGACAGGAGTCCTGGTCCCTGTGGGGCACACACCTCTTGGCACCTGGACACATGCGTTCACTGGGACGTGTTTTGGGGCCAGTTTGGGCACAAGTGGGTCCCCCCAGCCATGGGGGGGGCTGGAGGAGTGTTGGGAGGGGAGGTGTGCTGTGGGCATCTTGGTGACCGGTTCCTCTGCCACCTTTCCCAGCACAGGCTGCAGAAATGCAAATCCTCAAAGGGTTTTCTCCTCCACGGAGGTAGTTTGTCACCGTGCCCAGAGGGTCACAGGACTCCCCAGGCCATCATGGGGACAGCCCATGGCCAGGGGTCTGCCCCAGCTTGTCCTGCCCGGGGGGGTCGGGGCTGCTGGCAGGGATGGCTGAGCTCCTCAGGGTGGCCAGGACATGCCCAGGGGTGGCTGGGGCTGGGGGGTGCTGCAGCTTGTCCCCGCTGTGTCCCACCATGGGGCTTGAGGGCTTTGGAGGTGACACCACCATCCCGGGGAAGTCACTGCCCCACTGGAGTGGGCACGGGTGAGACAGGGGATGAGCGGGAAGGAGCCCGTGGGGACCGGACCCAGCCTTGACCCCTGTCTCCCCACCCTCCCCCGGGACCGGAGGAGCTGAACATCATCCCCACTCTCACCAGTGCCACCAGTGCCACCGCCACCCGCGAGCCCCGGGCTCCCTCTCGTGGCATCTCGCCCCATCTCTTGGGGTGCCCGAGGAGCCGCGGGGACCCCCGGGGGGCAGCGGCAGCGGGCCCGGGCAGACCTGGGCGGGGGGCACCCACCGGGGGGCACGGAGCGGGGGGCGCTGCTCCGAGCCCAGGGGAGCCCCCCTGCTATCCC